GTGAGAAATAGCTCTAACTCCATATTACATGATGTGTTACTATTAACCAAAAATAGATTAATCAAAAAATAGTGGTTCTGTTTTTTTCTAAGCAAGAGCAGTTGAGTGACGATTGGCCGAGGGGTAGGAGTCTAGTAGCCTGTTTGGCCAAGCTTCTTTTTGGCCAAAAGTGCAAGCTTGGCCAAACTTTTGGAAGGAAAAAAAAGTATTTTTGAGGAGAAGCAGAAGCAATTTTGGAGAAGCAGAAAAAGTAGCTTCTCTCCAAAAGCACTTTTTTGAGAAGCACTTTTGAGAAAAATACACTTAGAACCAGTTTTTTAAAGCTTGGCCAAACACTAATTGCTGCTCAGAAGTGCTTTTCAAACTAATTAGCCAAACACAAACTGCTTCTCACCAAAAGTACTTTTGAGAAAAGCACTTCTGAAAAAAAGCACTTCTCAAAATAAGCTGATTTTTGCAGCTTGGCCAAACGGGCTATAGCTCAGCTCAAAGCAGAAAGAAAAAGTAAAACAATGACTCTAACTAAGTAAAGAGATAGAGATTTTTTTTTTCATCCATTTTCCATATCACAACATGTCAAGTTACGCGCCTTTGTGTATTTGATGATCTAACAAACTTCTTAATAAGAACCAGATTAGGAACCTGTTACACATCCTCAAAGTGCTCAAAAACAACTAGTGTCAAGTCTGGCACAAGTCCCAACAACTTGAGTCAAAGAACGGGAGAGGGAACATATGTCCATTAGTTCCTCTGATGACAGTACAAGTCAACCCTCTACAGCTGTAAAATCGTTGTACTGTTTTCTGCACACGCAACAGTGCAGCAGTCACTTTATGGAGCATGCCTTGTACCGGATAATTGCATACATAATTCCGATGACCTCACTTGTATATTACCAACATGAGGCAAGGGAAATGTACACACTTGCAAAAGCCCCTAATCATCACTTCTCTCAAGTGTGCTATCGACTTTCAAGTCATTGAAGAACAAAGCAACAACAAAATCAAGGACCAGATCCCAGCATTTAGTCTATCATATGCTCTTAGTATTGTTGTATCTTTGTTAGTGTTATCTATTTGTAACTCCTACCCGGATTACTTAGACGCATTTTTGTAGGAGATCATGTGTAAAACCATAAACCTTGTGTTTGTGTTTTGGCTAGAGTTAGTCAAAGTGTGTGCTTTGTAATAGAGTTATTACAAAGAGACTTGTAATAGAGTTATTACAATTAGGTGAGGGATTAAGAGGTTAATTCCTAGATTACAATAGGTTGTAATCTAAAGTTTACTCAGTTAGTGAAGTTGAAACCATACGAGGGAAGGTTGTGATTTTTAATCCCGTGAGCTGGGAGTTTTCCACGTAAATTTTTGTTGTGTCTTTTACTTACTGTTGTGTGTGTATGTTTTGTGAAAACTGATAGAGAACGAAGTTCTCCATACAGTTTGGTGGACCCTTAGTTTACATCACAACTCCAGTACCAGGCAACATTTTCCTTACGTAAGAACGAAATAGAACTTGCGGTCTTTAAAATACTATAAATTTTGTGTTATTCTTTTTTAAATAGACTAAAAACCCAATAATGTCACATGAAATAGTCCAGTCCAATACGGGAAGATTCGGATAAAATTGGTCGGGTTAATACAGGTCATAGGACCACATTTCACGAGAAGGAATTAAGGAAGTTACATTATTTTCCCTTACAAGGTTGAGACCATTTTGCTTAGGAAAAGATATTTGTATGTCCAAAAGCCCTACAGGAAAACAAGAAAAACAAACTTCTGCATGCCCTATAGTTTTTAAAAGCCAGGAATCTTGCAATAGCTTTTTTCTCAAGACCATTTTGCCATGCATCTTATTATTTGGTTCACATACATTGTATACTAGATTTCACTTTATTTTCTTTAGACACACTAATTATTACATATGGTGGTTATTTATCGTTAACATAGAATTTGCTTATCTTATTTCCATTATCTTTCGTTTTGAAAGTTGAAACTTCGGACTTCATCAGTTCTAGTGACATGTACATACAGGTCCTTGCTAATCACCTTATTAATATATACTAACCAGCAAGTAATATGGTGGGATGGTTGGGATCCTTTCACCCTTAGCTGCTTAATAAGAAGCGTTTTATCCCCTACGTAATAGGCCTATGGCCATTGACGTGAATCTGGATTAACTGAGCCAGTACGTAGGCTTCGAATTAGATGGCTAAACAAAGAAGGTTATTTATGTGGAAATAAAATGAAACTAGTTTTTTTTATTTTTAAAATTAAAAGTTGAGTGTTAGAGAGAATGGAAACAAAGGAAAAACCTCAGTTATGGTGACCAAGTCCATGGTACTAATTAGGCTAATATTCTATGGTCATGAAAAGTGAAAATGGAGATTTAAGAACTAAGTAAAAGGGTGGAGTGATTTGGAAATTAAATAATAGAAGGAGAGAAACGGAAAGGAAAGGAAAGAAAAGAAAGATAGTGCACTTAATATCATAATCTACACATTTGTTAGCATATTCCTCTCCGTTCTTCTAATTTTTTTCTAACATATCGAGTCTAATTGAGATTAAAAAATAGTACTAAATACTACCGACCATAAAGAAGAATTCGCGGAAGATTTGGTTCTCCTTAATCAACATGTCATATATATATTCTCTTGGATGTAAAAAGAAAAAAGAAAATTTTCATTCTCAGATTCTTTCATATGTATGATAATACAAACAAAGGTCCAGCCAAACCATGTTTTGATAAGCTTTATTGGCAATTTGGCACATTATCATTGAAACTAAAACCAATCCGTATTTGACAATCACTGTGACATATCAACAAAGGTTGGGGAGGTGTAACAAGTGCTCTTTCGTCATTGACCAGAGATCTCGAGTTTGTGTGTGAGGGATAGAATAACTGTTTTTGTGAAAGAGCGCTTTACCCTTCAATGTAAGATTTTTCAGCGCAAACCTGAATTTAATCGGACTCCCAACACAGGTACCGAACATCAGATGAGAAATGAAAATAAAAAATGTATTGTAACATATAATGTGGCCGTAGCATGCATGTCCCGTCATATTCTTAGATTTCTATTACGTTATGTGGTTGTGTTCGCCTCAGGTATTGTATTCTCTGCTGCTATTATTTGGTGCTACTTATCTTTTATCTCCCCCCTTTTCTTTTCTCTTCCTTCTTTCTTCCTTCCTTGCTTTCCTCCTCTTCTTCTTGTCCTTCCTGAGGCGAGGGTCTATTGGAAACAACCTTTCTACCTGCATTAGGTAGGGGTAAGGTCTGTGTACAGACTACCCTCCCCAGACCCCACCTGTTGGGATCAAACCGGGTTTGTTGTTGTTGTTGTTGTATAATGTAGCCGTAGTTAATTAACTTTTATTAAAATAAGTTAACAGATCATCCAATGGAAACGTATTTCTCAGTCAAAATTGGTTTGAAGAGCATTTCGTTACATCTGTTTTTGAGCTCTTTCAGTTGTTTTTGGCTTTTGCTTTTTTAAACACGAGGAAGCCACTGGGCATTCCATAGGAATTTTTAGTCGGTAAGAATTACAATATGAAAAATAAAAAGAGAATATAGTCAACAGAGTTGCCCAAAAATGAACTGGATGGGATGAGATTCTATGAATAAAAAAATAAAAAACGGATGAAATTTAAATACTAAGTAATTTTTATTCTTTTTATTTTTCAGTTTCGTTTTCCCCCTCCTTTTCTGGTCTACCCCCACTACAAAATCTGGTAACTCTTGTCCGATTTCACATAACCAAGAAAAGTCTATTGAAGATTCCGTGTTCCAAACAATTTAGCTCATGCATTTTACTGGTTTAATTTTCTATTCATTTAAATTAAATCACAAAAAACATAATTCAGGCATCTTAATTTTTATTTTTTTATCTTCCAAATCTAGTAACCTTATAACAAGAAACGGCTTTTGATATCTACAACAAATAAAGATGGTAAAATTCTGATGTATGTAACTTAAACTGGTCAAAAAAACCCATGCATTGCGTATAAATCGTTTTCCTATGTTAGCCTTTTTCTAGAAAACACTGAAATAAGTATAATTCATCTAAACAAAAGATTCCCTTTGTGGGGTTAAGGATTTGGATGGATAAAGTAAAAATGGGATTCTTCTCAATCCGATTATTCCACTACAAACTCCCTTTTTCTCTCTTTGGTTCATAGTAGTTACAAGTATAAAGAAAATTCGAAGAACTCAAATGTTCGCAACACATGTCAATTTTCTATTGGTATGATAGTTAGGCTAGGATATATATTTCTCTTTGTCCAATCATCTTCTTTCTTTTGATTGTCTGTAAATTTCTTTGAACGACGTATTAACACTTCCAATTATCTTCTTTCTTTTGATTCTAAATATCGCTTACGTAGTTGAGAATTTTTCGCTTATGTGTCTTACTTATACTATGATCTATATAATAAGAATAGTATATTATATTCGCTGATTCCTACGGTAACCTCAAGTTAGTTTACTAATATTTAAAGATTTCTTAATATATATACAACGTTACTGGACATGATACACCACTGCCTACAATCTTCTCGCACAATTCAGACTCCATCAGAATGGCCCTATCTAGGAACAGTTTAAGTTACCTGCATTAAAAATAAAAATTCATGATTAGTACAATTAAATTGGTTATATCGATCTATTTTTCATGTTATTATATTAGACTTGGTATGGAAAACAACATATTATTTTTTTGGTAATTAATTAACTTTATTAGCAATTGAAACATATGTACAATACACAAAATTACTATGTTATTGTAGCTCATTAACTTCACACCACGGATATTATTTACACTGTCAGTACATTTAACATAAACTCATATTCTTGTCAGTACATATAACATAAACTCATATTCTAGTACTTACCCCTCCATCACCCTCCACAAACCACGCATACCACTCTCAAAAAGATTTTAAATAATATAATAAGTAGCAAAAAATCCTCTATATAAGCCCCTCACACCCTCTTACTTCAAGCCATCTCACAAGCTAGAGATTTAGAAATATATATTCTCATCAATTCTCCTTTCCTCCCCAAACAAACATTTAATAATATGTCTGGAGTTTGGGTATTCAAGAATGGAGTAGTCCGACTTGAAGATTGTCAAGGCTCAAGTGGTCGTCGAAAAGTGCTAGTTCATGTTCCAAGTAATGAAGTCATCACATCCTATGCACTACTTGAAAGGAAACTTTATTCTCTTGGTTGGGAAAGGTATTATGATGATCTTGACCTTCTTCAGTACCACAAAAGATGTACTGTTCATCTCATTTCTCTTCCAAAAGATTTCAACAAGTTTAAGTCCATGCACATGTACGATATTGTCGTCAAGAATCGCAATGAGTTTGAAGTTAGAGACATGTGATAATAAGAATGAAAGAAGAGGAGTTCATTAATTTGAAGTCATTATATTCTTCAAGCTGTGTGCTGCTTTGTTTTTTTTTTTCTTTCTAATTTGGGGTGATTCTCTAGTGTTGTAATAATTAGGTTTGATACTTTGTGGTTTGTTTCATAATGCTGCAAATGTTGGAATGTTGTAAGGAAGGTTTATTGGGATGTTAATGTTGTATATTTAAAGGTTGTTTGGAGTTTTTTCTTTTATCGAGTTTACAAATGCAATCATGTTTTTGTTTGGATACTTTATTTTCATTATTCTTCCTCTCCATTTCCTCAGCTACATATTTAAATCCAAGTTTGATTTTTAACGGTCTAGATTATATTACATTGACAAGTTTCTTAACCATAGTGTAAATAAGCTTTGGAGTAGTACACTCTCCAACTTTGGTAAGAAAAAAAGTATATATGACCCCCCCCCCCCTCCCCCCCTACCCCCCTCCCCCCCACAATTTTCTATTTTTTGGAAAATTTCAAGTAAACCCCGCAATCGCTATCCTTTGGGTGCGCATTGGGTAACGTGTTTACTGTGCAATAGTTTGTAAACCACACAAAAGATGTAAACTGTATAAGGCAAGCTCGGTGCGACGAGCTCTGACTGAAAAGACTGCTGGTAAGAGGAATTGATTTCAAGTCTCTTACGTGGGAAACCGCTCACCAACCAACTCAGTCATCCCTTTGCAGGTTCCCACAAATTTTGCTACCCATTTAATATCATTACTTTCATCTTATATTTTTGGATTCAAATATTAAAATTGTAGAACATAAACCTAAGATGTTTTGGTTTATCTTTTTTCGAAAAATATTCTCTTGACCTTAAAATATTAAATGGGACATATGTCACTCATTTGCAGTTGAGGAAATATACGAAAATTATTAATGGAAAGGAGCCGCATCCGTATTTCATAATGACAATAAAAAATTTCTTTTTAACTTCCCAATTCATCTAAGAAGAAGTAAAAAAGGAAGTATATCCTCGTTCTTCATCTATTTCCTCGTTCTTCATCTTCACCTTTAATGCCTTCGAAAGATCACGTGTAGAGTGCACCCATCCCAAGACGTGCTCATCTGCTTCTTCTGTTCTTTGTCTTTCTATTGTAGTATATATCCTATTACTTCAGCTTACGTATAATTACGGAATAAATAAGGATTATAAATAGAGTGGTAAGTACTAGTTTTTCATCTTTAATAAGAGATTTTATGTTCAAGTATTGGTTATAAAGTCGCTTTTATTAAGGGGTGCTTTACTTTTCAATGTGATATTTTCTGTCACAAATTTAGATTTAATTGGACCCCAATACGAATATCAGATACCGAAAAAGGGTAGCTTGGTGCATAAAACATCCCGCATTTACATAGGTCCGGGAAAATGCACCCCGAAAAATATAATGTAGACAGTCTAACATAATATAAGTATTGGTAGCTGCTTTCAATGATGCAACTCTCAGAAGGGAACTATGTCAGGCAATCAAAGAAATTCATGGGCAGGTTAAAGGCCCCTGGGCGATAATGGGGGACTTTAACTGTGTATTAAATAAGGAGGAAAGAATATGCAGCCCAGTCACAATGGCAGAGATTAGAGAGTTCAAAAAATATGTTGAGGAATGCTCATTGTTGGACCTTAAATCCACAGGAGCATTTTTCACATGGACAAATAAACAAAGTGGAGGGGATAGGATACTCAGCCGAATTGATAGAGTAATGGTGAATGATGAGTGGAACCGTAAATTACCTGCATCAGTGGTACATTACAGGAATGAGGGCTTGTTTGATCAATGCCCAGCTATTATAAGCTGGGACAAGGTAATCAAGTGAAGAACAAAATATTCAGATACTATAACATGTGGAGTCTAGCATCATACTTCAAGGAAAAACTTAAAGCTGGTTGGAGGACTGAAAGGAAGGGCACTAAAATGTTTGAATTAGTGGGAAAGCGACACAACATCAAACATACTTTGCAAGAGCTGAACAAAGATAGATTTAGTGAAGTAGAGAGGAAGGAAGATGAGGCAATGCAGAAGCTCCAAAAATGCCAGGAAAAAATACAAAAGAACCCATGTAACATTGAGTTGATAGAAGAAGAAGAGAAACTATCCCAGGAATGTAGATCATGGAATTAGGCTAGAGAACAGTTCTTGAGGCAAAAATGCAAAATTCAGTGGCTAACTCAAGGTGACATGAGTAAAAAGTTCTTCCACAGTAGAAGGCAAGAAGGAACTCCAATAGAATTTTCTCTATTGACACTGCAGATGGCCAACATACAAATGAGTTAGAGGAGATAGCTAAGGCATTCATAACCTTCTATGAAGGCCTGCTGGGAACAAAACAAAGATATAGAGATCATGTATGAAGTAACTTGGTGAGACAGGGGCCTACAGTTTCTACTATGCATAGAACAAAATTAATAGAGGACTTTACTGAGAAGGAAGTGAAGGAGGCATTATGGGCTATTGCTGGGGTCAAGGCACCAGGACCAGATGGGTTTGGTAGCCAATTTTTTAAAGATGGTTGGGAGGTTGTAGGGAAGGATGTGGTAGAAGCTGTGCTGGAATACTTCAAAAATGGCAAAATACTCAAAGTATGGAATAACACAGTTATTACCCTCATACCAAAAAGTGCACATGCCTAAAGTGTAGGAGATTACAGGCCAATAGCATGGTGTAATACAATATACAAAATCATCTCCAAGATGCTGTGTAATAGATCAGAATAGTCCTCCCTGAGCTAATATCTGAAAATCAAAGTGCATTTATAGCTGGTAGAGGCATTGTGTAAAACATTCTCATCTGTCAAGATCTAGTAAGATTATACAATAGGAAAGCCACAACCAAAAGCTGTTTGATCAAAATCGACCTCATGAAAGCATATGATACAGTAGAATGGGAGTTTGTAGAGAAAATGTTATATGCTATGAACTTTCCTGGAAGGTTTATTAAATGGGTGATGAACTGTATAACTACAACTCAATACAATATTGCTTTGAATGGGGGATTGTATGAAAATATCCAGGGCAAGAGGGGATTGAGGCAGGGGGATCCTATTTCACCACTCCTATTTGTCATATGCATGGAGTACATCTCCAGAATAATGAGGAGGGTAGCAAATATGCCAGGATTTGAATATCACGCCAAATGCAAATGATTAAAGCTGAATCATTTGTGTTTTGCTGATGATGTTCTACTGTTTTGTAAGGGAACATATCAGTCAGTACTGCTGATGCTTAGAGGACTCCAAATATTTTTAAGGGCTTCAAGACTATGCATAAATGCAAGTAAATCCAATATTTCAGTGCGAATATGGAACAACTAAGTATGCTGGATCTATGTGAGTTAACAGGCTACGAGAAAGGAACATTACCATTTAAATATTTGGGGGTTCCAATTTCAACTAAAAAGCTGAATAGTATTGACTCTGAAATGCTAGTAGATAGGATGGCATCAAGAATTAAAACGTGGGGGTCAAAAATCCTATCATATGCCGGGAGAGTTCAGCTCATCAATTCAGTACTAATGCATGTTCACACGTATTGGGCATCCGTATTCCTACTACCAAAGACACTGATGAAGCAGATTACAACAGTGTGCAAAAATTTTCTATGGGATGGGAAGGAAGTGGGCAACAAAGCACCTTTGATAGCATGAGACCTAGTATGTAAACTAAAGGAAGTTGGAGGATTGGGAATCACAAATGGGGTATTATGAAATGGGGCTGCAATCGGCAAATATGTATGAAACATTGCTAGGAAAGCAGATGACTTATGGGTGAAATGGATAGATCATATATACTTAAAGGGTAGCTCTTGGTGGCAATGTTGCTGGTACTGGACGAAAATATGCTCGATAAGAGACAGATTTGCACTGGGGTATGTAGAACAGGGATGGTTAACAAGAAATGGCAAATACAACATAAAAAGTGGCTAATTGTGGAGACTAGGATATGGAAAATTGGCCTTGGAATAGGTGGGTATGGAACAAGGGAAATGTCCCCAAGCACAACTTCATATGTTGGCTGGCTAAACATGGGAGATTATTAACAAGAGTGAGATTGCAAAAAATTGAGGTTACACAAGATACAATGTGTGCAATATGTGACAGTGCACCTGAGACAATAGAACATCTGTATTTTGAATGCCAATTCTCAAGAGCCTGCTTGCAGGCAATGACAAAATGGTTGAACATTGGGGTGCAAAATATCACATTACAAGGTATATGGAGAAGGCTAACAAGAGGGGTCAAAGGTGAAAGCTGCAGAACACTGGTAAAAGCAGTACTAGCAGCACTAGTCTATGATATACGGAAGGCACATAATGAAGCACTATGGCACCAAAGAGTCCCTAACCCTGGGACAATCTGTACTCAGATTCAATAGGATTGCAAAGCAAGGTATGATAGAATAGGAAGTAAGAAAGGAAGTAGAAGAGATAGGAAGTAAATAGATGATATGTATAGGAAAAAGATATAGCTCAACAGAAACATAGACAGTTTTGCGACTATGGAAAATTTATAGGTAGAAATACTTACCTTCCATAGTTTGTACAATTTCAAAATGTATACTTCACAGTTCTTGTTGGGATGATTACTAATATTTTTTCTTCACCGGAACCCATGACCTATATATATATA